TTCATTGCACAGCAGCTATGTAAGTCACTTATTTTTCCCATCGTGAGATCGAAAATGCCATGACTCGATTACATGGTCATTTGAGATTCTATGACTGAGTATCTTCAAAAGTAAATAGATACGGCAGGAAACTTATGTCCACATACCTCAATTACAATGAACACTTGGTATTGTGGTCCTTGCAATCCGGAGTGTGGATTAAATGCTACTGAGTAAGGACCGAACGATTTAATTACCTCCTGAAGTTGTTCATTCGTAATACGAAACGAACAGCAGGCTTTGCAAATAAACAACTGAAAACGAGAGTTTCAAAGATTATCATCCGTAGAGTTGGAAAGAAGGCTTAGCTTCTATACCAATACACTGAAACCTTCAGCGACAACTGTTTGCCTCAAAAATGTAATATGCACACAGAACAGGTTACACGAGAATCATGCGTTTTAAAAGATGGCTTAAAACCAACACTCGACGTGAACGACCGGACTGGAAATCCGTAGACCTACCTATTAATATGATTTCCATTTTATACATTTTCCAGAGCTTAATGCACGCTTCAATATTTCTAAGTAGCATCCAGTTCCGATGCAAGGTGTTGTTTAAAGTCTGCATCCACGTCGCCTATTATTCGTGGTGTGTGCTAGTTCATACCGGTATGCACCGAAACCGACTCGCTATTAAATCTAACAGATAATAAGGCGGTTTCAGCGGCTTACCATTAAGCCTAACCCTAAATTTAAACCTTTGCACAGATTCCCGCTTTCTCACTACATATGACATAGGTTCAGCTGCGGCTTAGGCGATAATACTGTAAAAACCGCTAATTAAAGGTATGGATAGAATTGGGAATGAAAGCCAATGCATAACTTTAAGGTATACATCGGTGAGATGAGATATCGCTCCTCGATACAAGCGTCCAATTGGAAAGCCTTGGTTAAGATGGAACTATGAGCTAAAACCTCGTGGTGACAAATCACAAGAGATAGACAAATGGGGACATTGAAGCTGAATAATGGTGATTTTGCTAATTAGAAGAAGGACTGACAAACTGTCAATTGTATACCATCAAGGACCGACCGGATTGTAATCTGTCCATAGCAGTAATGAGTGAAACCGATTCGCAACTAATCTAACCTGGCAACATTTCCGCTATTTATCGCATTATCACCAAGCCTACCCCTAAGGCTTTGCTGATTTCATCGTAGACTTGAGTCAATGAAGTGGCATAAACTGAGGTCGAGGAGAAGGCGCTACCGTGGTAAAACCATGAAATACCGGTTTAAACTGAACAACGAAACATTTCAGTTCACACGAAATCGATTAAACTGTAAATCAATTTCAGTCCATATGCATATAAACATGATGACCACTTTGAACAATAACATTTCTGTTTTATATTTATTTACGGTTTAGAGGCTGTGATGATTATTAGATTACTATCAGGCCAGTTGCAGCCATGTACACATCAGACATCGTAATGATAAGAATCTCAAACTGACATTCGTCGACAGAAAACCACGCTTTCCCAATGATTGGCAGGTCAACGACTTGATACCCGTTTCTCGGTTGATAGCAGCGAACTATGGTGGGGTGAATCCTTTGCTCATGAGAATTAACTGCCATTAAGAGGAAATTTACGCCTTGTTTGAATCCGGCGCTATTGAAGTGCAAAGTAACCTAGTAATTGGTCACTACCCGGTATGCATATATTATG